TTTCAAAATTCAATTCATACTTTTATTTATAATAATTGAGACCATCACCAAGGAAGGCTTGAATTAGGCCCAGCACCACAGAAACGAAGACTATTCTGACATGTATTTTAGAGATATGTTAGTGACATATATGATGATGATGATTTTTAATTTTTATAGTTTTTTAAAAATTAGAAAATATATGACTTTTAGGATGCTTTACATTTAAAAAAAATCTTCATTCACTGCTCTTTTTGGTTATTTATTTGTTTGCTTTGAAACAGGGTCTTGTGGTCTTGTTTTGTAGCCCAGGTTGGCCTCAAACTTCAGGTGATCCTCCTGCCTCAGCCTGCCAAGTCCTGGGATTAGCAGCGTGTGCCACCACGCCTGACTTTGTTTTAAATATCTTTGAAGTGTACAGTGCTATTCAGATTGCTGGACTGATGTCACTGCCATCCATCTTCATTTTCATTTTTTTAATTGTTTTTTCTTGGTGGTACCAGGAATCAAACTCATGACCTTGCGCTTGCCAGGCAGGCGCTATGCCGCTGAGCTATCTCCCCGGCATTTTGCCATTCATCTTCAGAACATTCTCATCTTGTGAAAACAAGAACTTGTACTCATTAAATTCTAATCCTCCGTTCCTCCTCCCAAGCCTCTGGCAACCTCTGTCCTTTCTGTCTCTATGAATTTATCCCCCCAGGTATTGTGTCTGAGTAGAATCAAAAAGTATTTGTTCTTCTGTGGCTGACTTAGCTCACTTAGCATAATGTCCCCAGGATTCAGTCATGCTGTGGCGCATGTCAGAATTTCCTTCTTTTTTTTAAGACCGGCTATTTTAAGAATGGATATTTTGTTTATCCACCACCCACTGATGGACATTTTGGCTGCTTTCACTTTTAACTATTGTGGATAATACTACAATAAATGTGGTATACAAACCTCCATACAACACCCTGCTAGCAATTCTTTTTTATTTTTTTGAGACAGTCTATATAGTCGAGGCTGGCCTTGAACTTGCTATGTAGACCAGACTGGCCTTGAATTCATGGCAATCCTGCCTCGGCCCCCCAAGTGCTGGAACTACGTATGTGTTCTACCATGCCTGGCCCTGCTTGCGGTTCTTTTGGGTCTATACCCAAGAGTGGATTTTCTGGATTTTCTGGTAGTCCTGTTTTGTAATTTTTTAAAGAAAAACAATAACTTTTGTGAAGATACAGCTCCCATGAAATAATGTGCTGCCTTACAACATTCACCTGTGTCCTGCACCGGGACTCTGAAGCGGTCTGCTGAGTTTGCAAATAAGAGTTCTTGCAGAAATCTTGTTACCAGGGATATCAGGAGCACAGATCTACAGAGGCATTGTTAGGGCAGAACCAGCCTCCAGGGCCAATTTACCTCCATGACCAGGGTTAGGAAACCCTAATATGCGGTTGAGAAACGATCTCTTCCTTCCATGTTAGGATGCTTATGGCCTACATGTCTTACAACGCAGCTGCGTAGTGGAGCCCTTCTCCACATATGCTTGCAGTATGAAGCCAGACAGCAAAGAACAAAGTCCTCAATCCCAACTGCAGCCATCCATATTTACACTAAATAAAATAGAATTCCCCGCCGAAATTAAAACCCCGTTTTATTTCTAAAAATTACATGTAATGAAGGTTCACTATAAGATAATGAAAAATATAGATCCATACAAATAAGAAAATTAAAATCCTTTCTAAAACCATGTAATACTACCCAGTTTTTGTTAAATCTATCCAGGATATCTCCTAAGCATAAATAAATATATTTAATGCAATTTTCACTGTAAAATAGAGACATATTATAATTTATTATTTTTTAACTTTCCCACCAGGTTTTGCTGTTGTTTTTTGAGACAGAGTCTCACTATGTAGTTCAGCCTTGCCTTGATGTCACTACGTAGCCCAGGCTGGCTGTGAACTTGCGGCACCCCGCCTCCTTCAGCTTCCTGAGTACTGGGATCACAAGCAGGTACCATCACATTTGGCTACACTGGAGTTTTGCAACAGCACTTCTTTTCTTTTTTTTGAGACAGGCTCTTACTGTGTAGCTCAGGCTAGTTTTGAACTCACTATGTAGCCCAGGCTGGCCTTAAACTCACAGTGATCCTCCTGCCTCAGTCTCCCAAGTACTGTGATTATAGTTGTGCACCATCACGCCCAGCAATAACAATATTTTCAATTTAAGGGAGAGTCCACTTTCTCATGTCATCAAATACTGTGTTAGAGTATCAGTTTTGATGGTTTCCGTTTCAAATTTATGTGACCCAAATGAATCCCAGTTTCTGAGCTGCTGCCAAGAGAAATTGGTCCACCAATGGCCTCTGCTAAAGGGTTATTTCCTCTCCTGCTCCCTCCTAGCTGATGGTATCTGTCATATGGGCAGTAGTAGGCTTCAAGGAGGCAGTGAGGGGGCAGAGGCAGGGCGAAAAATAAAATCCCTGCTCAGGGAAGAGCAGGACCAAGGATGATCTCATTGCTACATCTGAGCAGAGAATGAGCAGGAAGTCAGAGATCACAGAGGGTCACAGGAGAAAGGAGGTAGATAAAAGCTCAACAGGAGTCAGTGCCTTGAAAGGTCATAAACAGATCCACTGGTGTGGGTAGCAAAAAGCACGAGTATGGTAAGCTAGGCAGTTGATGCAAATATGTAGAATAGTGTTTTCAGGTAAAGACTTTGCAGATAGATGACCATTTGAAAATTGGAGCTTAGACATGATATAACTTGGATTGGTTAATCTTCTGAGCTGTAATTTCCTTGTCAGTAACATGTGCACAATAATACATCTGTCACTGAGTTGCTGGAAGAATCTATTGAGATAACACAGGCAAAGTTCTTAGTATAGGCCCTGGCATTTAGAAGCACTAAATAATGCAGTTTCTATTATTGCTATTCCCCCCAACATACCTTATATTGTATTCCATTTGAATCTCCGGGCATATAGTTTGTGAGCTTATAAACACGTATGTTGTATTCTGGAAGGTTTTCATGGGTTTGGATTTTTTATTGACCAAACTTCTGAAGTAACTGAATCAGTTTTTTAATCTGTGATTTTCTTCTAAATTAAGGATAATTTCCAGCTTATAGAACTGAATTTTCTTTTCCTTTGTCTCCTAAAGTCTTGAGCAGTTATAAGAACCACACACTACAAAGGAGCATTAGCAGTAGTGTATAAATTGGTGCCTCAGGAGATAGTATTCTCACAGTATGTGAGAAAGAAAGGAAGCATCTCGAACTTTCTCTCTTGCCCTGACGGTACAGAGGGGAGAGGGTGGGCTCACTTTTTAGTCATGTCAACGTTTTACCTCTTCCCGTGCCCCCCTAGAGATGATCAAGGACTACGTGGCAGGTATAAATAGCCTTGCTGAGAACATCCTCATACCTCGAGCGGGGCCCATAACTGATGTTGCAACGAGAGTCCTGATTTAGCTCTGAGAGAGGCACTGCAAAGGACTCTCAGGAGGACGGTATTTATATCCATACTGACAGATGAGGACTGTCACTGTACCTCTGGCAGATGGCTCGAAGGCACACCCCTGGGTCAGTCCTCTCCCCGCCATAGCTGGCGACCCATGCAGAGTGCTTTCTGAAACTCTCATCTTACATGGGCAGCCACGACGTGGAGCTGCTCTGGTGAAACACTGGTTACTAGGGAAAGAACCCAAGGTACGAGGGTCAGCAGACAAGCTGTAGAGGGCATGTCCTTTAGGGGCTTAGGGGCACAAGTCTTTTGGCATCACTGAGCCAACCGCAGTTCGAACTTCTGTATTCAGTTGCCATCGTCTACTCTGACGTAAGAAAAAGGAAATGAAAACTGACTATTACGATCCCTGTAGAAGAGCCGGGCAAATTACAGTTGTCTCTTTTCATTTTTTAGATGCTTAATTAATTCAAAAACCTAACATATGCCAGGGATGGTGGTGCACGCCTGTAATCCCAGCACTTAGGAGGCTGAGGCAGGAGGATCACTGTGAGTTCAAGGCCAGCTTGCACTATACAGTGAACCCTGTCTCAAAAAAACAAAACAAAACATTATAGAACAAAACCCTAACACATTCTCAGGTCAAGTAATAAGGAACCAGAAATTCTAGGATTAGTTTGAGTTATTTGATTAGGGTTAAGAGACAGTGACTAATAACACATATAAAATAGACAAACATGTAAATTATATATTATTAATTATATACTATATATGGATATATCTTTGTGAAATTTGAAGTGTAGTAGAGACAAGGGTCCAAGTTTATGCTCTTCCTTTCTTTATGTTGGTTCTTTTTGAGACAGGTCTCACTGTGTAGCCCAGGTTGGCCTTCAACTCATGGTGATCCTTCTGCCTCAGCCTCCCAAGTCCTGGGGTTACAGGTGTGGGCCACTATGCCTGCCCCGTGGTTTTTCCCATTTTGCTCTTGTGCCTGGAAGGCAGATGCCACAGTTCATTAGCTAAAGCTCCACCCAGGTCCCCTCTCTGTAAGGTGACTGGTATGTCTGGGCCCCGGACCATCTCTGTTCCCACCTCTGAAGGGTCAGGGGCAGCCCGTGGGAGGATAAAAACCAAGAGGAAGTTAATATGCGACTTAGGACTTGTATTCGGAATGCATAAAGAACTCTCAAACTCAAAGGTAAAAAACAAAACAAAAAACCACAAGCCAATCAGAAACAGGCCGGCAACTTGAAACCACCCAGATGAAGGTAATCATCATGCATCACAGACATACATTAATCATAAAAAGAAAGGAAACTTAAAACAGAAAAATGCTCAGTAAACTCATGAAAAGGTGTTCAACATTGTTAGGGAAATACAAATCAAAGCTACAGTGCGATGTCCCTACACACGTAATAAAGTGGCTAAAACTTAAAGATAAACCCGAAGTGACAGTGCCAGGTGCTGATTAAGATGCAGAGTGACTGGAACTCGTCGTTACTGGCGGGAACACGGAATAACAGAGCCATTTTAGCAGCTAGCTCGACGGTTTCTTCCAGAGGTGACATGTACTCACCCTAAGACCCAGGAGTGCCGCTTTGGGTGTTTATCCAAGTGAACTGAAAACTTCTGTTCACACCAAGACCTATATGCAAATGTTTAGAGCAGTGTAAGTCATTAATACTGGAAACTGGAAGCCATCCAAATGTCCTACAATGCTGAACGGCTAAACAAACTGCAGTGCATCCAGACAGTGAAATTCTACTGAGCAAAAAAAAAAAAAAAGGAACTAACTTCTAATACGCATAACAGCACGGATGAGTCTCAGACACATTGTTATGGTTTATATTTCGATGTCCTCCCAAGCCTCCTGCACTCCCAGGCAGGGCTTTTAAAAAGTGATTAAATCATAGCAGCTCCGTAGCACAGTGTGACGTTTGGAGGGGCAGTGTTACCTGCTTAGTTTTGTAGGGAGGCTCAAGTCAGATGGCTGAGGAAAAATGTCCAGCAACTGGTACATTTCCACCCCTCTTCTCATCCCAACTCAGTCTCCTTCTTAGTGTTTACTGATTGTGGGCTGACAGCATTAATCTTTTTTTTTTTTTTTTTTTGGAGGCAGGGTCTCACTATGTGGTTCAAGCTAGCCTTGAACTCACTATGTAGCCCAGGCTGGCTTGAATTTGAGGCTATCCTCCTGCCTCAGCCTCCCCCACCACACTCAGCTAGAATTAACAATTTGAAGATAATTGTATTTAAAACTATTCTTTTTTTTTTTCCTGGTACCGGGAATCGAACTCATGACCGTGTGCTTGCCAGGCAGGTGCTGTGCCTCTGAGCTAAATCCCCAGCCCCTTAAAACTCTTCTTAGTGCTTACTATATGCCAGACACTGTTTCAAGTCCTTTGTATTTGTCAGTCCATATGTTGGCTGGAGGTGGTGGTACACACTTATAACCCCGGCATTGTGGGAGGCTGAGACAGGAGGACTGCAAGTTTTGATGACTGAGACCATGTCTCCAAATGAAAAATAAGAAAAAGGCTAGGGATGTAGCTTAGGGCAAAGGCCCTGTGTGCAGAACTGAAAAAAAATTAACAAAAATCTTATGAGGGAGGCATTATTATTATTATCTCCATTTTTTGGAGCAGGGTCTGCATATGTACCTTAAGCTGGTCTTGAACTCAGTATGTAACCCAGGTTAGCCTTGAACTTGCAGTGATCCTCCTGCCTTAGCCTCCCAAGTGCTGGATCATAGGCGTGTACCCACATACCACCATTATCTTCATTTTATTCACAGAGACACTGAGGAACGAGTGAGTATGTGAATTACCAAGGAAGCTGAACTTGTATCTCCTGGTTGAGAAGCCTTTTTTCATGAGGCTGTCTTCCTTTCGGGTGCCCCTTTTCTCTTAGCGGCATTCGTTCGTTTATATTAACTTTCATAGTTGACACAACACTTTTGAAAGCCCGACGGGATGTGCAGCCGTAAGAATTTGGGTGCGAAGTAGTAGCAACGTGTATGTGTCCGCGTGGGCGACACTGTGTGTGGGCGACGCTGTGTGCGAGCACCTCTAGCAAGTCCAGGGCAGTTAAATGCTGCTCTTGTGAGGCTAGTGTGGCTGTGCTCTGTTTCCACGCATGTGACACAAAGCCCTCTTTTCCGGTCTTGATCCTGACTGGCCTTTGGAGGTCCAGCGAACATCCTGCCTCTCCTTCTGATGACCTTTAAGCAGCACCCACCCCATGCTGAGCATCGCCCGGTCTTCACTGACTTGAGGGCAATGTGTGGTGGCCCGGAAGTGGGGTTCGCCAGTCAGGATGGAATAGGAGCAAGTCCGAGGGTGCTGTGTGCTCTAGAAATATAGGAAGAGCAGGAGAGAGAAGAGCTAAAGGTGAGAGAAAGGTGGGTGTGGCGGTGTATGCTGTAATCTCAGCACTCTGGGAGGCCGAGGCAGGAGGATGGAAAGCTTGAGCCCAGCTTGGACAATTTAGCAATTTAGTAAAAAATTGTTCCAAAATAAAACATAAAAATGGCTAGAGTTGTGGCTCTGTGAGAAGGCTCTGAGTTCAATCCCCAGTATGGGGGTGGCGGGGAGGAAAGGTGAGAGAAGATGAGATGAAGTCCTGCGAAGTCTTCGGAGGCCAGGAAGAGTCAGAGGCGTGGAGAAAGAAGTTTGAACAGTAGCTGTGGGGAGGAGTGGACTTGGAATGGGGTACGGTGGTGACTCTCAACGCGGTAGCCAATCACCTGGATTTTAAGAAATACGAATGCTTACCTCCTGGGTTACTGAACTAGTAGGTTTGGGTTGGCATCCAGCTACTGGTGTTTTTAAAATCTCCCAGGCGGTTCCAACGACAGTGCTGCTGAGAAATGCTGAAAATAATTGCTAAATAACACTGGAAGGCTGTTTTGATTATTCCAATTTACATAATTTCCACTGGCTTTTAAACTTTTTCAGTACTGAGTGTCAAATTCAGGGGTCCTGTACCACTGAGCTATACCCCAGCCTCTTTAATTTTTTTTTATTATTATTATTGTTATTGCTATTATTTTGTTTTGACACAGAGTCTCACTAAGTTGCTGAGGCAGAACTTGAACCTGTGATCCTCCTGCCTCAGCCTCTAGAGTGCTAGGATTACAGGATATGTTCAGTTCTATAACTTTTTGTGCATCCATTTGTGATAGGTGAATGTAAGAACCACTACACTACGGAAACTACCCATGTTCATCCGCTTGTTTGTTCAAACACACTATTAAGCACCTACATGGGTCAGTGACTTTGTACACAGTGAAAAAGTCATCTTAGTGCATTGTTACTATTTGGCTCCCATGTTGTGGATTAAATCCTTCTCAGGATTTAAGTGTCATAAAAGTTAAGATATTTGGATATTTGCTATATATTATTGAAACTTTATGATGCTTGTAAACGGTGGACCTTGTTATAGCCCACATTTTATAGGGGAGATTGAGGCACAGAGAGCTGATATAATTTGCCTAACGTCACACAGCTGGTATCTGCCAGAGCTGGGCAGCTCCAGAGAGAGTGGTAGCTTTAACCACAAAGAAAGCCAGGCACTGTGGTGCACACCTGTGATCTCAGCACTTAGGAGTTCATCTTTCTCTCATGCATTCTTATCAAGTGTTCCACATTTCAGTAGATAATGTACACTCCATTATAATTTCCTATTTATTTATTTATTTATTTATTCATTCATTCATTCATTCATTCATTCATTCATTCATTCATTTATTGAGACCAGGTCTCACTATGTAGCCCAGGCTGGTCTCAAACTTGCAGTGATCCTCCTGCCTCAGCCTCCCTAGTGCACCACCATGCCTGGCTCATCATCAAATTACTGTCAGCCAGTATTATTTCATGGCACATTTTCCCAGGCCAGTACTGACAATGATCAGTCAAAGACACTGATGTCTTCCTTTTGCTTCATGGTGATGAGAAGACTGACCCAGTAGATCCTGTGAAGGACACAACTCTGGTCTCTTTGGAAGCTTAGAGCTGAGCCTGGCTGCACAGTGGGTCCTTGTCCTTCTGGTCCTGTGTTTGGGGACCCAGGAAGCCTTTATCCAGGCTCCTCAGGTGTCTGGGGTTGGAGGCTGGTGGAGCAGGACATGGCCTCCCTCTTCCTCTACTCAGTCTTTCCTTCACTCACATGCACTTCCCAGCTCACATGCCAGGGGCGTGAGGATCGCAGGTGTCTCAGCATCAAGGACCTGCGGCGCAGCGCAGGACAGGGGCGTGGGAGGAATGGGCTAGAGAAGACGGCTCCTATGTGCCTGTGGAGGGCGCTGCTTGGTTTATTCTCTTTTGTTTTGTTCCCACTGTTCCCTTGATCTGCAACTTCATTTTTAACTTCCAAAAAACTCTTTTATTTATTTATGTATGTATTTACTTATTTATCTATCTATTAATTAATTATTTATTTATTTTGCCTCTGCTGTTTCTTCTTCATAGCACTTTGATCTTGTTTTATTGATGCATTTCTTCCTTCCTCTGTCGGGGGGTCTTGGGTTCTCCCTGTACTTCCTGTTTCCGAGAGCTGCTGGGGTCTGTTGTGTGTCTTGCTGTCTCTGCCCACAGAGGCCTGGTCCCCTCTGGCTCTGCGTTCCTCCTTGAGCACGAGCTGCTGCAGACCCCAGAGGGCTCCCCCTCTGCCGGTGGCTGCTGTGGGACGATCAACCAAAGGGGGCTTGAATACAGAGAAGCGGCCAATCTCTGTTGCGATTGGGTTTCTCTGGATAGAAACCTCATCATTCCTGTTTCTGGGGCAAAAAGGGCCTGTCGTGGTTACTTTCTCTCGCTGAGACAAAATATCTGACACCCAAAATTAAAGAAGGAAAGGTTTATTTAGCTCACAGTCTGTGGAGATTTCAGTCCATACTCGGCTGGCTCCAAGGCAGAGTTGCACATGGCAGAGGGCAACAGTTCATGGCGGTGGAAGACAGCAAAAGCCGCAAGAGTGAAAGGGAGGAGTGGCTGAGGGAAGCAGCCTTTTTCCCTCCTTACACTGTATGCAAACTACCCGTCCCAGGGCAGGTGTAGCGCTCCACCCATAATTCCAACAATGGACCATGAATCAATCATTACTCTAAAACCACACCCCATGACTGCATGAGACTTTGGGAGGACATGCAGACACAAACCGTAGCAGGGCCTCCCTACCAAGAGATTGTTTAGGGATATTTGGATACCCCGTGCTCACTGACTAAGCATTCTGAACACAGGTCTTTTCAGGCACCCCATACTCAGTTGCAATACTAATAAAGGCAAGGTCTCATATATCATTTCATCTATCCACTTCATACTGCTTACCTAATCCTCTCAATGACCCTATAAGATAGATTTTTTTTTTTTTTTTTTTTTTTTTTTACTATTTTCTTTTTTAGTATCAGGAATCGAACTCAGGGCCTTGAGCTTGCCAGGCAGGTGCTGTGCCGCTGAGCTACGTCCCCAGCCCAAGATAGATATTATTCTTATCCCAGATTCTTTTGAAGAGGAAAATGAGGCATAAAGAGACTGAGTAACCAGCCTGAGATCACACAGTTACTAAGCTGTAGAATCAGGATTTGAACCCAGGACTCTTAATGGATGATATATTTCTGTGTTACTGCTTCCTTGATAGGAGAACAACACAGGCTGGTATTTGGACAGCGTTATGAAGGGATTTTGTCTGTTTTATGCACTATTATACACTCAGATCCTAGCACAGTTCAAGGCAATACATTTTGGTGGAATGAATTTATAGTATCTTTCCTACAGAAATGGGACTCACCTCTCCTGGGAGTGGGCTATCTATACAAGGGTCTCTCTCTCTCTCTCTCTCTCTCTCTGTGTGTGTCTCTCTTTCTCTGTCTTTCTCTGTCTCTCTGTCTCCTTCTTTCTGTCTCTCTCTCTGTCTTGCTCTGTCCTCTGTCTCTCTGTCTCTCTCTGTTTCTCACTGTCTGTCTCTGTCTCTCTCTCACTCACTGTCTCTCTCTGTCTCTCTGTCTCTGTTTTTCTCTCTCACTGTCTCTCTGTCTCTCAGTCTGTTTGTCTCTGTCTCTCTCTCTTTCACTCACTGTCTCTCTCTGTCTCTCTGTCTCTGTTCCTCTCTCACTGTCTCTCTGTCTCTGTTTCTCTGTCCCTTCCTCTCCTTTTTGCAGTGGTGGGAATAGAACCCAGAGCCTTGTGCATGTTAGCCAAATGCTCTATTTTTGCATCCATTTTTGTGATACTAAAGATTAAGTTTTGCAGAGTCACACCCCCAGTCCTTTAAAAATTAAAAAAAAATTGATACAGTGTCTCACTAAGTCATGAAGTTGTCCAAACTGGGCTCACATTTGCAATCCTCTTGCCTCAGCTTCCCCAAGTGCTGGAATATCAGGTGTGCAACACAACTGGCTGGGACTCGAGTCCAGGACCTTTACACTGAGTTATATCCCCAGCCTTTTTCTTTTGAGATAGGGTCTTGCTAAGTTGACCAGGGTGACTCCTAACTCTCCCTCCTCTTGCCTTAGCTTCCCGTGTGGCTGGCGTAACACCGTGCCCGACGTCCTCTTGTTTGTCACCGTTCATCTTTCCTTTTGGGCTGAGGTCAGAGAGTAGATCTGAGGCTGAAGGAGAAGTGATAAGGGATACTGTACTCATAACGGGCTCATAAGCTCATTCTTTATTCAAAGATCGTTACTATTACTTAGTGGGAGGGAGCTTATTTAATTTTTCTCAATATTGTGCACCATGAATCAGAATTCCTGTTAGTGTCTACGATCTGAAGTTCAGAAACCACCTTTGACCCCCGTTTCCCATTAAAAATAATTTCCCAATCATTGTTCTCCTCACAGAATGGCCCTTAGTTGACAATGAATACTTAAAGCATGTGTTTCCTGAAATGAAATGAAATGACCGGAGGACTGTGGCAATACACTTGTTTTACATGTTTGAATGGAAAAAATTCTGAGGCATATTTCAGGACTTTATTGCCATTTTGACAATCTATCTAGAAACACTTTTTTAA